GCATTCTCCCGCCCGCCCCGGGCGCAGTGGTGGCCATCCTGAGGGAACGGCCTCTATTCGGGTAAGGTCAGGGAACGCGTCAAGCCCAAGGCTGGGGAGGCGGTGGGAGAGGAGGGGGGGGGGACCAAATGTCATCCGGGAAGTGTCACCGCGTGCTGCGCTGCGAGCGGGAGGCCGCCGTTAAACCTTTCATCTTGAATCGCGCGAATGAACGAACCCTATAACTAACAAGCGGGACCAGGTCTCCATAAAGGTGGACTCGCGGACGGTAAAGGTTTGATTGCTAAATCAACGTCCTGAGGCTCCTCCCCGCGACCTCTCCCCTCTCCCTCCTAAAAAGCAAACTGCGTATTAAGAAATAAGTTTAAAAAATATATTCGCGTATTAATGACATGAAAACAAGCCATGTGTGATGGGGAGGAATTCATATTTTAGAGATGGACCGGGGCAGGGGGTAGCGGATGGTGGGAAAAGCTGGACGGGGCCCGCGGGCGAAACGCTATAAACCCGTCGCACCTGACGGCTCCCCCGCGCGACCCGCCCGGCGCTACAAATGTAAATGTGCCAAAGCTGTGTGAGACCACACGACGCGTCTATGTGTGTGTGTGTGTGTTGGAGGGGGGGGGAGACTGTTTTTACGCTCAGCCAAATTTCAATCCTCGGCAACACACGTGCAAACAAACACATGCACACACACACACGCGTTCGCGCGCAAACAAAATTCCGAGCTACTTTGTTGGCCTCCATTAATTTTAACTTGATTCTTTGCCGCTAATGCAATCTACTTGCGACACAGCAGCGGGGCGCGTTCTCCGCCACCTTTACTTCCTCTCCCTCTCTCCCTCTTTCTCCCCCTCCCACCGACCGCAATCAACACAAGGCTCACGCTATATCACAGTACCTGCCCTCTTATTGGCAACACCCATGAGTCTTGCTGTAACTTTAGTTTCTTTGAGTTTATTTCAGAGCGATATATGATAGGTCGCGAAGGAGATTCCTTGCGCCTCCTGCGTGTCACTCATCAGTATTTCGACCCCCCCCCTCCCGCCCCCGGAGGGCGCTGTGTTCTTTTTATTTATTTTTCGCTCGCCTTCTTTGACATTTCGTGGTGCTGTTGCAACAAACACCCGTAAAGCGGCCAATCCCGCGACGACGCTGTGGTGTTCAATGTCGCCGTCTTCCCTCGCCCCCGCCGGCCCCTGCCCCACTGCGAGCTGTGCTGGTGTTGCCGATTTCTCAGGCTGAGGCAGCCCCGTCTGCCCGCCCGCCCGTCTGTCGGTCCGCCCCGCAGCGAGTAGCACTTACGTTTCGCGCGCTTTCAAAAATAAACTTAAGTGCTTTCCATTACATAGAGTGGCCGGCGGCGCGTCGAGGGATGAGGGAGCGCGCGCGGGGGAGGGGGATGCGGAGGGAGAGAGGGGAGCGGGGGAGAGAGAGGGGAGCGGGCGGTCGGGGAGGGGATGGGGAGGGGGTGCGAGAGAGTGGGGCAATCGTGTCATGCTTACGACCTCGGCGACTCCGGGTCTGATATGCTTTGATCCACCACACGGAGCCGCCACTCTCGACCCACGCGCAGTCATTTGCAGGGCGCCAACGACGTTTATTTGGCGGGACTTTTTTCCTTTTTTTTTGTTTTTGTATTTTTTTTTTGAACTTGGCGCCCGCGGCCCAGTCTGGCGGTCCGCGGGCGCCACCACCCGCGCCACCCTCTGCTGCGGTCTGCTGCGCGGCCGGCCGCTCTCACCCCCCTCCCCATATCTGCACCCTCCCCCTCCCCTCCCCCGAGGGCCCGACGCAGCACTCACATTAGGCTGGCCCGGCCCGTACCGGACTCCATTAGACAACCATTGGATTTCGCCATCTACTCCTTAATGGAATCCCCCTAAGGCTGCGTCCGCTTCGCGGCAGCTCGCTCTCTCTCTCTCTCTCTCTTTCTCTTCTCTCCTCTCTCTTCCTTTTCTTCCCCCTTCTCCCCTTCTGCTCTCGCTCCTCGCCCCTCTTTCGGACGCGGCCCGGGGGCGGCAGCAGCAGCCCGCGCGAATCCCAGCTGTAATTATTGCAAGACAAATCCGGGGGAAACGAACGCAAGAGCGATCACCCTCGGCCACGCTATACCTCCCTCCACTCCGGCTCCACCGCCCTCCCAACCCGAAGCGACCGGAAGCGTCATTTTTTTATTTCCCGCGCAGTCTTCTCTTTTTGCGCTCCTCGCGGCGGCCTCGCTGACCCGGGCGGCGACCGCGGTCGTGATCAGTAAAACACGCCGGTATACCTTTGCACAGTCCGGTCCGC